TGTGTTTATGATGATGATGATGATGATGATGATGATGATGATGATGATGATGATGATGATGATGATGATGATGATGATGATGAAAGTCGATCCTTAGGAAGCCTTCCTAGCGAAACGTTGGACCGATTAATAAACATTTTTAAAGAATATTAATTTTTACTCACCGAAATGTACTCAGAACTATCCCTCCATAAACTCCTTTTCCTACAATGATAGTGATGATGATACGCTGATGATATCACTTGAGACAATGACGATGATAACAACGACAAGAACACTAACAAACCTGACTTCTTATTCTTTTTCTCAGGATGGTTTGTCTGAGTACGAAGCACTCAACACCAAGGAAGATGGAGAGAAGAAAGAACAAGAAAAAGTGGAGGGCCATCTGTCCTATGGGCTCACAGTGTTGACCGCTACCGTGTTCATGGTGGGGGAGATGGCTGGTACTGGGGTCCTCGCTATGCCCAAGGCGCTAGAAGACACAGGTGTGAGCAGGGCAAACACTGATTTGTTTGACGGGGTAATCAAAGTGATATAAAGAAACATATTCAGAAAAGGCCACTCTCGAAAAGCTTTCCCTCAATGGGAACATAAAAATTAACAAAACTACTTATTCAAGATGGCATCACTGAATTGCGAATGACAACAAATTCTGAATATAATACTATGTAGCATTTTGACCCGCCAAAATAATCGAGAAAATATCTAATTAATTGATTTTCATTCCCACTTTGGTTAAAACGTAATTATATCTTTCAAACGTGCGATGAGAAAAATTTTCTCAAGATTTTTAAAACAATAAATACGACAAAAGAGCTGAATACACAAAAGAAGGCAAAGACGCAGAGATAACAATACCACAAGTGTATTATCAATTTGGTTTCAGATTTGGCTATCTTTAATCTAGCTTTTCGCGACCAGGAGTCGCATAATCATGCCATGACCTGATTAAAGGGTAGTAAAAACTCAAAGGAAAAGAACAAGCTTTACAAAAAACATGATATTGTTAGGATCTAGGCCTCATGTCCTGTTTGATGTAGACCCTACCAGTTCAATTGTGAGCATACACAATTGCAGCTTGTGACTGCTTATGACGGTGGCCTGAGACTCAGTGAGAGGGGGGTACAACAGGTATTTATGTGGAAATGAATCAGTTTCGAGGTTTGTGCACACTGCTCATTGGTGATTAACTGAGCTTCATTTGCTGTTTAAATCTATAACGCCATTGTCCTTCACGGTCTGTGGGTTAATTTGAATGCCACGTTGTTCTCAAATTAAGTAAGGGAATCAGTCAGTGATAATTTGGTTATGTAAACGTTTCGCCCCTGTGTGTGTGTGTGTGTGTGTGTGTGTGT